ATACTTGACAAACAAGAAGGTCCTCCTCTACTTTCAATTAGAGGTTTCACAAGAGATTCCAATAATTGTAAACGGAAGTCCTTCTGTTTGTACTTGCTATTTTTAGTTACCTGTTTGAAAAGAATTAACAATAGACTGGTCAACAAGTCTAAAGAAAAGTTTCTTAAACCATTTCACAGTTTTACGTGGAATGGAATAATAGCTAAGAAATTGATCATTAAGGTTAACCCCTCCCATAAACTTGTTGTAATCCAAGATTAGCTGTGGCTTGCTAATCATGTCACCCTGTCTTCTTATCACTTCTTTTACTGTAGCATTATGCATTGTAGAAAGAGCATGAACATCTCTTTTATCAGTCCACTTCACAGCTGTCATTGAGCCACAGTTGAAAAACTATGACTCTCCCCTTTCTAACTTATCTGGAAACATGTCTGGGAATTGGGCCCTGTCCTTCCTATAAGTACCACAAGCATAAGTACCAAGTGAAAGCAACTTATCAAACAGAGTTGGAGAAGTATAAAAGTTATCAGTAAAAAGTGTCCCCTTCCAAGGTACTTTTCCATCAGTCATTACAACTGTGCTAGCTAAGCCCTTGGAATGTGCAGATCCCTCTTTACCAGAGTATGTTCTAAAATTTAAACAGTATCCAGTCACGGCTTCTGCCAGAACCCAAAGCTTGATTCCCCACTTGGTAGGCTTGGTAGGTAGATATTGCTTGAAAGAAATTCTGCATTTTGTTCCCAACATTTGCTCATCAATAGAAAGTTCTCTAGAAGGGTTGTAGTGAGCTGTAAAAGCTGTTAGTAGATGATCAAGCACAGGTCTGACTTTGAAGAGTTTATCATGCTTAGGATCAGTTTTAGGTAGATTATTAGTATTGTCATTGAAATGAAAGAAGCGAGCAATAGTTAGGAATTTTTTAATATCACATACAGAGAAACCTAACACATAAAACATGCATTTCACTGCATTTTTATTTTTGCATCTAAATATGATTTGCATACAACTGTACGTTTACTTCTCAGTGCATAACTTATAAATTTGATATTGTTTATCCATACATTGATGCTCCTTTTGTATGTATGTTATCTTGATTTGTAACTTATGTATAAAATTTATGTAATTTAACTTTAATGTTTAAATCTTTTGCAAAATATCAGAATAAAATAT